CACTACAGGGATCTCGGAAACGGTAAGAGGTACGAAGTAGCTTAAATGGAGGCAAAGTTGCGTAATCAGGGGACCAACATTATGCCTCTAAAAAATCAAGGCTAACATGATTAATTTTCGAAATATTTGAAATAAAAAGAAATATTGGAAATCCGATTTTGTTTCATTTCAGCCTTGTTTGAGGTGATATTGAAAAAAGAAGAACACTTTTTCATGGCCACTTTTTGCCCTGTATCGAATCCGTTTTTATATGTAACGTTTCGTCTCTCCAGGACCATCATCAACTTCATTAAATACTACCCTGGAAATTTTATTACATTTTTTGCAAGCCTTCATGACCTCCAAAACTGTGCTACTTGACTGAAAAATTAAAAGAAAATGATATAGAAGAAAACTTACAATTTTCTGTTGTATTTTGTTTTTTTTTTGTCCCTATCCCTAAGGATAGATGTAGGGCAGTTATAGGTATACAAATAACATTTTTTAGGAGAGTAAAAATATACAGGCTGTCTACTATAAGAGGGCCACTCCTATGTACCTCGTTTAATACACGATGCACGTCAAAATTCTTTATATGTTTTTTGTTACATTTTTTGAGTCCTTGATGCTTGTAATAACAAATTTGAGATCCATGGCCAACTTTATGAGTAATCATAAAAAAACCGGAAAAGTACCGAAAGTTTAGGGCCGTCTAACATTTTTATTTTAAGAGATAGAGAAAACTTATTTTAATAAAATTTCATGACAAAATTGATATCTTTTACCTGGTATAGAAAAATTTTTGAAGTATCATATGTAATTTGCTGCGTCCTCTACGCTGAAAAAAAAATTGTTGATACAAAAAATTGCTAGTTTTATCCTCTTTCATGCGATGTACCACATCTCGCCTTTGTCTTTTATATTTATTAATTTTTTTATAATTTTGGTATCAAAAATGTAGATTAATGTAGAAATTGTTTTAAACATGCCATCAACAAAAAATTTAATGAATATAATGTACTTGTTTTAAGCAAAAAATCTGCAATATATGACACCCATCAGTTTACCATCATAGAAGTAAGATCCTCTGATTTTGGTATCAACAATTCTAACCCAACCGTTTACTGACAACCTCTGTTGAAATGCAGTTTCTCCGTGCCAATGTAAAATCAATTGTTACAAAAATTAGACACATCTGACCAGAGAATTCTTCTGCATATAAAAGGATCTTCCCTCTTTCTTTCTCGTCACCATCTACAGAACCCTAATCTCCTCGGTTTATCTTCCTCCCTCACTTCTTTCACCTTATAACATTTGAAACCATTTTTTTGTAATATGTATCCTTCTTACATTAGCCGTGTTTCAATTGTAGTTTACTCCATTCACACAGTTTTCCTCATGTTTCCTATTTACATAATTTACAATTCTGTTAACATTACCTATTTTATTAACAACAGCTGATTTTATTAGCGAAGGTTTTCTATATTCCGCAAGTGCTTCAATAGAATTGAAATTGCGTTGATAGTACAATACAAACATATTACACTTCTCAATATGTGAAAATATCATTATTATTCAAAATTATAGTTTTTCAAATCACAGTGGAATGTAACAATTTTCAAACCAATCAAATCAATAAACTATAACAATAAACAATTTGTAATGACATTACTGGGATAACACATTTATTTGTTTTCAAAGCGTGCTACATTTAGCGTAAGCTACCTACTTTGTAGAATAATGTTGAAGGCTCAGTTTTGTTTAAAGTAAAAAAAAAAAACAATATTATAATAATGTTAAAAGAAAATCTGTATTTTGCTTAAAAGAAGTAGGTACATTACATTTATTAAATTTTTTGTAGTTGACGTGTCTACAACAATTTCTACGTTAACACGAAAATATTTACATTTCTTATACCAAAATTGCAAAAAATATAGTAAATATAAAAGGTAAAGGCAATATGTAGTATATCGCATGAAAGAGGAAAAAACAAGCAATTTGTTGTAGCCACAGCCTGCTTCGATGACAGTTTGTTTTGCTCGGTTAGAGGGCGCAGCAAATTACATACGATATTCTAAAAATCTGTTTAGATAGCAATTTTGCCATGAAATTCTATTAAAATAAGTTTTCTTTATCTCCTAAAATAAAAAAAGTTAGACGACCCTAAACTTTCGGTACTTTTCCGGTTTTTTTATGATTACTCACAAAGTTGGCCATGGATGGAAGGTTTTTAACATGCGTCGTATATTAGGTGACCCATAGGACTGGTCCTCTTATAGTAGACAGCCTGTATATCTTTCATACTGTTAATTTGTTCACTAAAGAAAATAGCATATTTATCTCCTGTTGCAAAATAGACCATGTACTTTAATCGACTAAGTTAAAGAAATCACACAAATATAGCTCCCGAACAATAAATTTCTGGTTATTTACACATAAGAGAGTTAACGTTTTTACACTGATATTTCAACACTGACTGAAATTAAAGTAATTAAATTAATTAAAGTAGTAAAGCAACAGCAAAGTACATTTTTTTACCATAATTGGCGTAGAAATAATTCATGCAATTAAATCGTTTCTTCTTATAATTAGGTATATTAAAATATACATTTCTGTCTACTTTAATATTCTGTTATGCATGCCTAATAGCATATTATGAGACAACGGGGAAATAGCTTATTACAATGGTTATATGCTAATCATTTCAGCCATTGCATATTATTGTACATGATAAACAACTTTTATTATATTCAATTTACTTCTGAATTACACAAGTGTCGGTTTGATGTTTGTTATTCCGATTATGGATCTGTTATAAAATATAATAAAGTTTCACATAATAACAACGTAAGGCATAATATAGTTATCCTTTGAGTTATTTTAATCCACAAAAGCTTAATTAATTATAAGGTTTTACAGATATAGCACAGAGCTGAAATTTAAAAAATATAACATTTAAGAATGTAAGTATCTCTGGAAGCGTTTGTTATAGATTAATATAATTTGGGTTAAAGATTCAATCAACTATAGCTAAAAATTACAGCAAATTTTTACTCCAATTCAGGAATTAACATAAAAATCTGTCAACCTGTGGGGGAGATATTGGGAGGCAATCTCACTAATGTAAGATCATCGTAGTTTCGACACCAATGAGTAATTTGGAAATTATATAAGCGAATTTAACTCCCGATGGCAGGATAAATATGGGAAAGACATCACATGGGGATAGATAGCACAGGCATAATAATTTAGCTATAAAATTATAGATGTCATTAATAACAATAAAATTAAGAAAATATGTTTGTAAAAAAAGCGCTGAAATGTTAAAAATTTAAAAAATTGCTTTTATGGCATACCTAAATCGATCGATCGATAAATATTGTGTTAGAGTGTCGTATGATGCCTATTTTTTACTCTTATTTGTTTGCGAGATATTTTGGCAATTAAAAAATAATAATTTAATGAAAACAACCTTCCTCCTTTTAGTATAATTTTTAATATACAGGGTGTTACAAATTAGTAGGTCAAACAGTTAACCACATATTCTTTGGACTAAAATAATGGTACTTCTCACTTCGGTGCCCCACTTTCAAAATACAGTGTCAAAATTAAAATTTAAAAAATGATTTTTATTGGTAACTCCGGTGCTTGTAGAGATATTTATTTGAAATTTAGCACATATTTTGATCTTAAGTCGGCACACTTTTTGTGTAATTTCGATTTAAAATGTCAAAGCGCGAACAGAGGGGGGGGAGATTGCAGTACTAATGGACCCCTTATTTTTTTTTTGAGTACGCCTATGCTTTCCGAATATTTTATTTTAGATAAAACGGCGTTTTATTTTATTTTTTTTACTCTTGTAAGATTTTTATTTGGGGCCTCGTTCACGAGATATTGTAACTTATTTGGATACGCGACATCGATTTAGTCAATGTGGTATCTATTCCTACACACCCGATATCCGTGGGCTATAAATGTATGTGCCACTGTGGTACAAGCAGAACTGGCAGGTATAACCGTAACTGCTAAAGAAATTGCCCATAGACAGATAACGGGCAAAAGTATTAGAATCTACATAGATAGTAAACAATCAATACTGATCTTGCATAAGATAATGTCCAGATCGGTAGGGAAATGCCATCAAGCGCTGGTGGTGGCCTCAGCTACCAACAGCATATCTGTATGCTGGGTTAAGGGAGACGACCGCTGCAACGGCAATAAAGAAGCTGAGAAACTAGCTAGGAGGGCATCGGGTCGTACTATATTTGGACCCAGTACCTTCACAGATGAAACGGGTCAGCACTTTTTGAAATATTTAAGGAAAACACCCACAAAGAGTTTAAAACACGGTAAAATGAAATAAATAGCTGTCAATTCGCTAAAGAAGTTCTTAGGATACCCCAGCAAAGACAGTCAAAAAATGCCTGGCTATGTCCAGGGTAAGCCTTCGCCTGGTGACAGGTATTCAGATCGGACACTGTTGGCTAAGTAAACACCTCTACAATGTGAGGAAGTGCGAAACACCTCTCTATAGAAGTTGTGAACAGGAAGACGAGACAGTTTTCTATGTACTCTACGAGTGCACTGGTGTCTCGTCAACGAGAGAATCTGTGCTAGGAGAACGGTGGCCTTCTATGGCTTACATCAGAGAGATCCCTCTGAGCAGCGTCATCACCTTTTTCTCCTTGAGAGACTGGATGACGGCTCATCTCTCGCTGGGAGGATGCACAAGGTGCCCTATGGGGCCTAAGTGCTGTAGCTCATACTGATTTATCCTCCAAACTATTCCAGAATCCAAAATCTGGTAATCCTGAATCTTAGTCATGTTGCTCATGCAGTATCATTCATTTTTGTGATAAATTTTTTGTCTCTTGACACGATACGGATTTGAGGACATGTTCTTTCAGTTAAGCATCACGTATTTCCGGAAACAGACGCCATCTTAGTTCAAAGCTTTAACGAACTTTTTATAAGATCAAGTTTGATATGGAGAGGTGGAAACAGAATATTTGAAGGATCAACTAAGGGTTTGCGGATGATGTTTTTAACCCTGGATGGAAATCTGGTCTTTTTGGCGATAGTTTCTGTTCATAGTGATTCTTTCTGTCTCTATAATCCCCTGAATTTGAATTCAGATCGTCAAAATACATAAGGGTACATAGGTCCAGTCTATAGAACAGACCACTTTATTGTAGATCAGTGTAATTCTTATCATTCTAAAATTTGAAAATATTGACAATTTTAAGCTATTTCTTCAGGTTATAAAATTCTGATTACTTGCTGGGACAATTCTGACATCAGATTCGGATTCAGCGCCTCAAAATACATAGGAATAATGTATTGTGGTCATTTACACTATACTTTTTTATTTGGTGGAGCTGTGTTATTAAAGATTAATTATGTAAGAAAGAGTATTTTTTTCTTGCAAAGGGTTACCCCTTTGTGAAATTCATTCATACAAATTAATGAAATTTTATAAAAACTAACAGGTTACATACGAGGTTCAAGAACTCAAGTGAATGGTTTTCAGATGAAATAACTGTTAATACAGTTTTTCAAATATCCTCAAATAGGAAGAAAAAAATATTTATAGTAGTTGTTTTCTACGTGATTAATCTTCAGCATCGGCCTCAAGTATAAAATGTGTTTGTTTTATATTTTTGAAAACAGTAGTGAAAACAGGATTCAAACATTTAATCTTTACTCCAAAACAGAAGTGATGATTCAACCGGTGTTTAATAAACATAATAGATGTCATGATTTCAGTCGTCAAGGTTATCAAAATTGTATGTGTTTATAGTTAAGTGCATCGTTATCCTCCCACATCTCAAATCCTCAAATATAATCAAATCTCATAATTTATGATATCTTAAAATTATGTTATTTATCGTATACCGTATATCGTAATAACACAATATGACAGGCAAAAAGTAGGTATAGATCATATGGGTAAAATTTTTAATATGAGGTTTTAATACATATAAATATTGGCAAACGAGTCTCTGTTATTAGAAGTTCTAAAAAAATGTTCAGAGTCTCCTTTGTCAGGTTAATGGGGAGAAATTAAAAAATAACAATAAAGGAACATAAATTTTCTCTATATAAAAGATTTAATAAAATCAAATTATATGATTGCATATTAATATTCGAGTCGATTTGAGAAAATAAATGTAGCTATTTTCGTTTTTTTTTTAATTCAAGGTTTTAAAGAAAATTTGCTGTCGAAAATTAAACCAAAATTATTAGTTTAAATACAAATACCTCGGCCAACAATTCCACGGTCAATCGAAATCTTTATTATAAATTTCATAACCATCCATAGATAGCAGCTTCTTGCAATAATAATGCGCATATTTCGAAAACTGATTTATCCACGTTCGATCTTTATTTCAGAGTTAAGAAATTGGTGAAATATGACTACCTATATATCTTAAATTGTAGGTAATTTAATTGCGTACAACATAAAACGACAAATTTTCCGACAGGTCATCTAGATTTTCGTGGGCAGTAAAAAATGTGAAAAAACACGCAAATTTTCAATTCTATCGAGTTACTTTTTTATATTGTCATTCTACATCTCCGTCATAAATGCAATAAAATGTCTGCTAATAATTTTTTCACGTTAAAACTCTACTTCGAGTACTAGTTAATATAAGATAATACAATTTGATTATAAACAACATAAAACCTTTTCATGACATAAGTTGCATTGTTCTATTTTTCTTTAATTTACCGACAGACCTCTAAAGCAGAACAACACTATTTGTGTTATAGCAATTCTTATCGATGCAGAGAAAATTTCTCATACCAGTATTGATCAAAAACTAATAATAACGTTTTTCCTATATCATGTGTACTTTTTGTCTGTCACAAGCGTTGCCTTCAGATTCGTGCTTTTGTTTTGCTCAGAAAATTATATTTTTATGCTCTTTATGCTAAATAATTGTAATTTTACATACACATTTATTGCGGCGTAGGAGCCTTTATGATCAAATAGAGACGAAACGGGTAACTTATCATTTTAATTAAATGCAATCTTATGTCATCACAACATGTAGGCCATTTGTCGCTCTGAAATTTGTCGAAGTTATTATTATGACCAGTAAAACACCCCCACTAAATTATTTTTCCTATTAGCTGGCAAGATCCCGACGATAATCTGCATAGTAATATTTAAATGAAACGATAATGGTTGTCGGATTAGAATAATGACTCCGATAAAGTCAATTAAAAACTTAGCACGTGGGCATAATTCGGAATATAAGTGCAAGCGTTGGCGTTCACATCCATTGATGCACTGCCTACCACCTGCAATACGATACAATATTTCGCACTCCTGAGAAAATTTTATATAAAAGAGGTGACATGTGCGAGTAATTACTTTAAGTAAGATTTATTCAGGATTAAAGGATACATTACTCTAAAATCTGCAAGTATAAACAGATGATTTTAATGAAGTGTACAAATTTATTATTAAACAATTGGTTTAAATCAGGCCCGCCGCTGGCACCCCCTGTTTAACTACGACTACCTAGGCTGAGTTTGCGAGAAAAGCTCTTTAGTTTTGTCTCATAAGGGTGTGAAAAAAGAAAAGAGAAACTTTACATAGAAAAACTATTTATTTTTATTATTTAGTTACTTATTTTTGTTTAATTACATAAGCTGAAAACCATCTCATGCTAACTAATATTTATCTACAGGAATTGAACTCTTCTCACCTTTATGTTTGCGAAATTTGTAATCAATTTTTTTGTATCCAAATGGTCTAAGATTTCATGTTCAATTGAAACTATAACGAAATTGCTTAGTCTTTGCTGGTGTATTGTTGATCTGAAATAGTTTTTTATAATTTTCGACTTTGACTAGATGCAACTAAAACCGGCAACGTAAGTAACATTCTTAGCGCTATTGCTGTGTTCGGAAATGTTGAATTTAATTCATTAGTAAAAAGTTTTTGTGGATCATTAGATTAGTTTTCAGGAAAATGCAACTTTAAAACATTTGTTTTATATTAAACAAATCAATACCGTCAATGTCTGTTTCTTTTTCCCTACTTGAATCGTCTTTAACCTTCAATTAAATCTTTACAATGTTTCATTAATATATCATTTGAGTAATGAAATAAGTTATTGCTTGTGTTTATTTGTGGGATCTCTGTTTCTACATTGAGTTCGTGAGCCACATTGGTAGCTTTTTCTAACACCCTTTCAAAGTGTTCATTCGTGCGATATTATGTGAACTTATCAATCAACTTATTTAAAAAATGTATGCAGATTTGAGTATTCATTGTGGGGCATCTATAATTTTGAATGTTCAAGGCAAACGAAAGAGCTTTGTGTGTTGTACTACGAGTATACTCCCATTCTGACGAATTATCGGATATTTCAAGCAAAGTATCAAATATGTTGTCGAGGTAATGGTTTGACTGCATCAATTCTGCTAGACCATCGCGTGCCACTTAAAGCTTTTTAATTTGAAATCCGGTAAATTTTTCAAATTATCGACCCCCTTTTTGTAGACGATGAAAAGAAAACATAAATTTATTGAATTATGTTAAAAAAATTCAGTTTCGTGCGTAATATTTACTGCATCATTGACGAATTGAGACTGAGCCGAGCATAGAACGTAAAATGTACTATTATTGATTTTCATAATTTTTTGGAATCCATTGCATTTTCTACGCATAATCGAACCATTCAACATTTTTTAATTAATTCTAGGAAAAATTCCTAGAAATTACAGAAATAAAACTGACAAAGAAAACATCGACACGAGCTATTGAACAAGTCTCTTAAATAAAAATGCAATGGCCAGAGACTACAATATTCCAAGATGAACTTTCCAACTCTTTTGTCTAAGCATAATATAGAAAATGAAGCTGATGTAATCGTGAGGTATTCAAGTAATTGTAAATGTCAAAGTTTTCACTTCAGAACATGACGAACCTTCTTGAAGTTTATAAAAAAAGAAAGAAATGCCTGAAAGAGGTCTAACTATTATAAGATGTCTTATTTTCCTAATAAAAAACCTTCTTCTCGTTTTTTAATATCTCGCTTATTGTTAGAAATGGATCCAACAAACCCTTATGACTATGCTCGACAGGGAACGTTCTATCAAATATGTAAAAATATAAATTAACAAAGTTAACATCCGCGGTTATTTTGTTTGAACTTAATTTGTTTTTCTACTATCATTTTCGAAAACTTAAAAAAAAAATCGTGCAACTTTTGTATTTCACATTTTTTTATAACTCTAATAATAAAAAACTTAAAGAGGGGATCAAAATACAGTGAAGCACCCTGTACATTAAAGTTGCGACAATTTACCTCAATGTGGGGTAAATAGCTGCACCTATCAAGATGATTAATAATTTATTATTGATGATAGTAGGTTTACCAGTTCATATTTTGAAAAACTAACTACGTATTACTTTTACCAGATCGATATACCATTTTAAAAGGTCTATTTCAAAAAGGTATGAGGGACACCCCTTTATTTTTATTTTATACGCTTAAATTTCTAAATTTTAGTGAAGGAAATCTTAATTTGTAATATGCCCGTGTAGATGTGACCGATGAAGTTTGTGTTTTAAACGGTTCTTTTCCGAACGGAACTAAAAAAATGTGGCTTACTAATAACCTACATGAAACAAAACTTGTAGTACCTCGCTGTAGAGCGGACGTATGTAATAAATACTGCGGATAATGAGACTAATTTATGTAGGAGAGGAATATTTGCATGCGTTGCACAGGAACCATGGAACTGGTGTAATTGGTCAGCCGACGCGCATTGCATTGAAGAGTTATTTCTCTGTTGAGATAATGGTGGCCTCACTGTCCCTTCTTTCGAAGTCGTTGTAAAGTAACCAGGACCGTTTAATTTATATGCATGCCACTTATCCAGATGTTGCTCGATGCTTATTATTTAAAATATTTAAATATGCCTTCAATAGAGATGTAAATTTGTTTAATTACATTTCCTTAGTTTTCCTTTTTGGGTAATTTGTCATACTGTGAATTAAATAAAAAAAATAAATGAAGGGGTGGATTTTGAACATACTTACTTTTTTTATGTATAAGGTCAACCGATATGAGAATAATGTGATAAAAACTCCTCATA